CGCCGCGGGGCACGCCGGGAGCGGGAGTCCTCGGCCCTCCAGGCCTGATCGGCTTCCCGCCCCGGACACTGACGTCAGTGGAAGGTGAGCGCCGCTAGGAGCGAGCTGCGACGTACGTGTGCCACATCCCTCTGCTTGTCCTCTTGCCGTCCAGGCCACCCCGTCTAAGCGCTGCGGGTCGAAAGACACGGGGGTCACCACTGACCAGTGTAATGTCACGCTCCACAACCGCAGGATCTGCTCCTGTACAGAATCCCGCCGCTTCGTGCGCTTGTCCTAGGGTGGGCCAAGCCTCGCCGGGATCTTTGCCTGGATTGTTGAAACAGCCGCCTGCGCCTGTAATCCCAGCACTTGGGAGCTGAGGCGGGATGATTACGCGAGTTCAAGGCCACCTTGTCTCTAAACGAACAAGAACCAGCTACCGTCCCCACTTCTTCCCTGTGTCATCAGCACAACAGCCCACCATGGACGCCGTGGCGTCGTGACTCTTCTACTCTAAACCCTCTGAAGGTTTCCTGTCCCGCCGGTCATCCAAGTCAAAAGCCTCGGATTTCCTACTATTCTGTTTTCCGTGGCTCCTTCAACTCTAGGCAGCCTGGTCTCTTTGCTACTAGGAATTTCACACTGATTTTTCCTGCTTCTCAGCCCAGTTGGCGGTCCTCTATTTCCTTTCTTTCACTCATGTATCTTTTTTTTCAGAGAGGCCTTCTCTGATTGCTTTCTCATATTTCCAGTCCTTCTGCCCCAGTTACCTAACATGATAATCTGTCTCTTCACTAGGCTGTAAACTCCCTCATGAAGACAGGGGTGTGTGTGTGTGATGGTAAATCTGTGTATGGCATAGGGCCAGTTATTAGTTACTTTTTTCCTTGCTGGGACAAAATATCCGACAATCACAGCTTAAGGAAGGAGAGGCTTACTTTGGTTCACTGGGTGCAGAGGTTTCAGTCAGTAGTCGGCTGGCTCAAAGGCAGGGTAGCATGGCCGAGGGATGTGGCAGAGGTGAGATAGCTCATGACATGGAGAGCAGGAAGCAGAGAAAGAGATGGAGCAGTGAGGGAGAGAGATCCATCCAGAGAAATCCGTCTAGGCCATACCTCCAGCGATCCACTGCCTCCAACCAGGCTGCAACTCCCAAGACCCATTTAGCTATAAACTCATCAGTGCACTGCACTAATCCATTGCTGAGTATCACACCCCATGATCTAATCATCTCCCACAAGCCCCACCTATGAGCACAGAAGGCTTTGGGAGGAGATCTAGATATGTACAAGTCATAATAGGCAAAATGTTATGGTTTATATCTACACCCCCGCCAAAACCTCAGGAGCTCATAACTGGGGCTTTTCAGAGGTGGCTGGATGTAGGGTGTATGAATATGGATTAAGGAATGGATATATGGCAACTAGTCCACTGATTGCTTTAGCATAGTTCTGGGTGTGGATAATAGAAAGGCCCACCCTGGTTGTAGGTGGCACCAACCAACAGGCTTGTAGTCTGGATGGAATAAAAGTGAACGCAGAAGGAAGGCTTATTGCCTTCTGCCTGCCCTGCCATGAACTCTTCCTCTTTTGTGGCGCTCCTCTGCCAGGCCACCCTGCCTCGAAGCCAGCTGACTACAGACTGAAACCTCTACAAACTGTGAGCTGAAATAAATCTTTCCTCCTTTAACTTGTGAGTGTTGAGTATTTTGTCTCGGCAACGAGAAAAGTAACTAAGACACTGAAGGGTCTGCGCGGAAAGCCTGGAGACTGACTTTTAAAGGCTATGATGAAGAATGGAGTTCCTCTGAAGAAGCAAAAGAGGAGACTTCCTTCTTTTTTTCTGTTATCCGATCCAAGCTACAAGCCTATAGTTTGGTGCTACCCACATCATGTTGGGTCTTCCCTTTTCAGTAAATCCGTCATCCAGACACTCCCAGAACTGTGCCAAACTAATCCACTCGGTGTTTCTTATTCAAGTTAACACTACAATTAACCACCACAGCCAGGGAAATACTTCCTGAAAGAATGACTCGACCCATAGTCAATTCTCTTTCCTGTTACAGTGCGTAGGAAATAAATTCCTAAAAAACACACACTCATTGTCATTTATCATA